GTTACATATTGATTTCTCGGAGTGTAGCTCCAAAATGAAAATTAATAATGCAAATAAATTGTTAACTTTAAACGCGCAAATTCCAGTCTGCGCACATCCCGTGTGTGCGAGAGTGTGTGTGTTGGTGGGGAGTGTTGAAAAGGAGAAGGGGGGTGTCTGCAGCCACTTGAGGTCAGTTCGATCACGATCGCGTCGGCAGAGGCAGAGGCAGCGACTGCGACTGAGGCAGCGGCAGTGGCGGAGCAGCGGCCCCAAGATCACGACGAGCCTCCTTCGAAGTTTTCGGTCTCTGCCTCTTCCTCTTCGCACTGTCAAGTGGCGCGTGTGTGTGAGTGACTGGCTACACCTGAAGAAAATGCTACCAGCAACATAAGACTCACATGTTGATCTCATATTGCAAAACAGTTCCCAGTTTCGATGGGAAGTTTTGCTGATACTTTCAATTAAAATTTTGGAATTGAAAGAATTTTAATCATGGTTCTTAACAGTATCATACAATTTTTTCTCTGTGATCCTAATTAATTTCTTGCCTAGGTCAGCCCACTTTTTCACCCGAGGACCGTGGACTGAACACTGATTACATGTCCGGCACTTTTTAATTGATGATCCAAACGCAATGTCTGAGTTTATAGCCTTGTTTGGTATTTTTCGCTTTTCTTCATTGGCCATTTTTTTTTTTGCAAACTTCTTTCTGCCTGTCTTTATGATTATTGCTTTGACTTGTTATTCGTGCTTTTTTCATTGCCCCACAATGAAAGCAGGTTTTCAAGTGCTCCTTCAATTTCGAAATTCCCCGAAATTCGTATAATTTCTTGGAAATCTTTCTACGAGATGACTTGAGAGACCTTTCCTGACACATAGAGATACCTCATACAGTTATTCAGTAGAATGCGTTAGAAATAAATTAATCGAATTCTAATGTATTCTTTAATGTATCTTTAAAAAAACGATTTTAAGTTCTTTTTCGGGAAAGGTCCTAACATTTTGTAATTATTTATCTTTTAATAGTATTTCATTGTTACAATCCTTATTACTAAATGTTTCTTTTAAAATTATTTTAAGTTACAAACATTTTCACAGTGTTCTTTATTTTTCTATTTCAAATGCGAATGACACATTTATTTCGCTACATGATTTCGTTTTATTGGGCATAAGTACATACATTTGTACGTATGTACGTACATATGTATATTTCATACAGTTCTGTGTTGGCCGCTCCAACTCGTGTTTTTGGTGCGTCTATTTTCAACCTCCATCCCCACGCCACTTGGCTCCCCTTCAGATCCCCCCTCGCCGCTACGCGTCACCGTCACACGAAGTCGGGCCCCCATTGGCGTCTATGTGTGGGGCTCCGAGTTACATATAGCCACAAATATATACATATGTATATTATGCATATGTATGTGGTTGTAGCCGCAGGCACACGTATCACAATTTCAATAGACGCTAATAGAAGGCGATTTTTCAGATCTGCTGTTGCCAACGTCAAGTGGGCTGTGCTCGATCAGAAATCAAAAATAAATAATATTTTCCACTTGCAAGCGCCGCAAATAAACAACAAATGATAGATGGGATGAACTGCTGCGTGTGCCGATGATCGAAAGAAAGTTACATTTTGATTGACGGCTGCACAACAACAGCGAATGCGAATCAATTGAAATTGAACTCAAATTGCAGATGTCGTGACGGAAACGGAAATAAGCAACTAACGGTTTTCGCTTTGAAGGCCAAAATGCAGCCCTGTGTTAAGATCCTCTCATTTTTTCAAAAAGAGTACAAACAAGTGGGTCGCAGAAATCTAAAAAAGATTGCAAAAATCCGTTGATACTACATTTGAGTATTATGCTTAGCTATTATTTCATCAAAACAGACAAAGCAAAATATATATAGTTTTTGAAGTTCCATAATGATAAGGAAGGGTAAACCAAAGTAGACTTTGCATCTCAAGCTATACTGAACCCAACAGAATTCATTCACAATATACATACATATGTTTGTAGATTGGTACGCACGGAACTGCTCTCAACTGGATTCTGACGTCACAATTGAACCACAATATTTTGCAAAGTCCAATTTCGCAAACGCATCCAGACTACTCTCGTACAGATAGATGTACTAGCCCCGAGCAATCGACAGTCCAGAGTCGTGTGCATTTCTATACGTAATCATCTGATCGGGGATTCGATTGAACCGACAAATCTCCCAATTAATGGGGAAAACTGCGCACCAAATGAGTTCAATTGTCGGGTTAGCTGATTTGGAAGATGGGCGTGTGGCCATTGAAGCCTGACATTTGCATTAATCTTAATTGATTAATAACGATTCAAGATCAAAGCCATTAGAAGAAATATCCGTAACAACATGAGTGCAACAAATGCAAATTTGAGCACAATACATAGGAGTTGAAGGTTAAACATAAAATAATAAATAAATTCTATAAAATACAAAGCAATTGTTTTTCCATAGGCGGAAAACAAAACAATTTATTCTTTTTTCGAGGGATCTTTTATAGTCAAGTTGCTTGACTACAAGAATCATATCTTTTGCTATGGAATCTCTGTGGCCAAACTGTTAATATCAATTAAAAACTAAACTAAATGAGTCTACACTTTAGAAGTTTCAATGGTTGGCAGTTTTGTTAACCTTTTCCTTGTCGTCACTATCGTTCTCATTATCATCGGTCTCCTGATCCTTATCCGTGTCGGATTTGTTATCGTTATTATGCTGCTTTTGCTCCAGAGCCTTTTGGGTCGCGCGATCTTGCTGTGATTTTTCCCAGGCCAGCTCAAAGGGATACTCCAAAGGTTTCAGTTCATCAGGGCACTCCTCCTGGTTCGGAGCAGTGGCTTGGCTAATGGAAGCGCCACGCGTGTGGATCTGCTCCAGCTGAGCGGCAGTGTGGACCTCTGAATTGAGACCAGTAATAAACTCAAACAGCTGCTCCTTGGTGTAAATGTTGGGCAGGCCGCGTCGTTCAAAGAAGCTAACAATGTTGCCGCAATCTCTCATCAAGAACTCCAGGGCACTGGGATGCTTCGGTTCGACACTCTGGGCCACATCAATAAACCAGCACTTACCCTCGAACCAGAGTATGTTATATTCGCTCATATCGGCGTGCACCAGCTTAGCCTCATTGTACAACTTGTGCATCGCGGCCACAATCTCTTCGTAGGCGCAGCTCAGCTCTGCGTCACTCAGGCGGGCATCCTTTAACTTGGGCGCAGCGTTGTGATTGTCACCGATGAACCGCATTACCAGCACGTGCTTCTTCAGCACAACGACATCTGGAACGTTTAGACCGATGGCTTGCATCCTCATCAGATTATGCATCTCCTTCTCCGCCCACATGTTGATGATCACCCGGTGGTTTTGCTTGCTAAAGCGGTCCTTGAACCGGTAGTCATCCTTGATGTATCTATCGCGCTGCTTGAACTCGTTGAGTGTGGTTTTAAAGATTTTAATGGCACACTCCCGGGGCAAAAGCTGCGGCGGAACTAGCACACCACTCTGGTGACCATGCTCGTTGCTGCCTGTATAATTCGCATCGGAGTTAGCGTGTAAGATGACCGCCTCTTTGCCTGTGGATATGATGCCGTTAATCTGCTCCAGTACTTGGTTATTGATCAGCTTGTACAGCAGCATACGAGTGCCCGCATCCAATCCCATTTCTGCGGTGGCCACTTTTTCATGTTTGTCGGAGCGACCTCGTCGAGAATGGGCTCTTAGTTGGTTGAACACCTGAAAGGTAGGTTTAAGTCTTGGTATCTCTTAACACTGGTCACTTCTAACCTTGTTGGAGAGTTTCATGTCAAAACCGGCAGCATCGCCGGTAGGAAACTCCGGTGGAAAAGACATCACCCGCTGAGCATTACGCACGGCGCAGAGTTGCGGATCGTGCTTTGTTATCATCTCGCCCTCCTTGTTAACTTTAAAGCCGCATCTTGGTATAGAGTCAAGCTGTCGTTCGTTGTCCTCGAACCGATCCCAGTCGTGCTTCAGTTGCTCCAATTCGTCCTCCTCGTAGTCATCTTCGGCAGTGTCGTGCAAGAACTCGGCATCGCCATCGCGTAGGAACTTATTGAGGGTAACAGTGACCTTGGACTGCTTGTTTTGCTGCCGCTCGATGCGACGCAATTCTTCATTGTACTCGTGATCGAACTGGGACTGCAATAGCTGGGCTATAACTGCATCGCTATCTTCAGGCAGCTGAATGTCCTCCGGAAGGTTTCCATCGACGTTAAGAAGCGCAGAGTAATCCTCCCATTCCTCCGCATTACTTTGGTTTCTAAGCGAACTAGGAGCTGGCGAGGAAGATGCCTCCGTCCCCCAAACAGGTGATATATGCTCATTTGGTTTTTTCAGCTTCTCCGTATGGCGCTGCAGCTCCTTGTCGTGCAACTTGTGGGCATATTGCTCCGACATTATATCCGCCAGATTTACCTGCTGCACTGGATCGCTGCTCTTAACCCATGGTGACGACATTCTGCACAATTGAAGGACAGTCAATATACATGGAAATTTGGTGCTGTGATTCGACAAACCTATTGGAACTTGGCTTGACGAGATGGAGTTCTATGTCGGTGGTAATTGTGGCAGTTGACAAACAAGCCCCTATCCAAATCCTGACCAGCGGCGGATTGCAGGTGGACTTCGATGTGTCCGCGGTTGATGACAAGTGAGATTTGTGGCACTATAGATTCCCAATATAACGGGGAGCCAATTGCACCCTTGTTGCAATAATATTTATATTGTATTTCACCAAACAATGCTTTTTCCAATTGTTGTGAAATGATCAGCCTATAAAAATATCGAACTATCGCAGACCGATAGACCCGATAGTATTTGATTAACGTCTCAAATTATCGAAAGCTTTGCTTACATTTTTGTAAAGCCTTATTATAGATATATTATACTATAATTTGCATACTTAGAAAACGTGATATTTGACTAATTTTAGGAAAAAGGCAGCAAAAAATATCGCTAGCAAAATCGTTGCCACATCGTCCGTTCTAGAGCGACGTTGCCAGAAGCAGTTTCGATGCCTGTAATCGATACTTTTTGTTGTAGTTGTACATTTTTCGCCAAAAATAATAATAAAAGTGAAAAATTTTTTTTGTTAATATACGTTTATTTGTTGTACAAAGGAGAAAATGTTATTAAACTGATTGGCCGTCCCAGCATTTTCGTGACCCCCGCTCCAAAAACAACAAAATAGAACGGCCGCCAGCAACAACAAGGTGCAGTAAATATTCAGTGCGCTGGTAAGAAAGATGGAAACAAAACGAGAGACCGAAAAAGCAATCAAAATAGAATTCCGAATTTAGAATATGACAGACTGAAAAAAATTTTCAATTCGAACGCATTGCCGCTGCTGCTGCCTGCCTCCTCTTCTTCTTCTTATTCTCCTCCTCCTCTTCATTCTTCCTCTTCTTCGCCAGCCAGCCGCTGTGGGGGGACATTGGGGGTCAAATGCAGAAGATCGGGGCTGAAGATTTCGTGAAATTGTGATTTCTGAATTCGTTCCTGTTAATTTGCGACTGCCCGACTCAAAGAACACACACCAACACACCCATACATCCGCCTTGCATACATATGTACATCCGCTTTTGGCCGCCTGTAATTATGATTTTTATTACTCCTGCAGCGCCTTCTATCGCCTTCTTTAACCGCCAATTGCACCTGCTCCTGCCCACTAACCAAGACAAAAAGAAGCGATTACTCCAAGCGCCAGCGGAAGTGAAATGATAAAGTCCACCACGAATCCACAGGAACAGCGTCTGCCACGCCCCGAGGATCAGTCGCCAGCGCCGCCGCCGCCCCCCTCCTCAGCCACCTCCACCACCGCCCCTGCCACCCCCACGCACCAAGTGGCCACCGTGATAGCCAACATGGACACCCTGAAGACCGCCTTTCTGCCCAATCTCAGCATGGATCCCAATGTGCACGTGTCGCCGCACTATTGTCCCATGTGCCACCAGCAGTTCGAGCGGCCGCAGCATGTCGCGGATCACATGCAGCTGTGCCACGGGATAACGCTGAACGCCCAGGGAGCCATCGCCACGCTGGACGGTGGCCATCCGCAGGCACAGCAGCACCCCAAGCTCAGCCACCCCTGCTTCAATTGTGATGAAAAGTTTGGCAACGCCGTCGACCTGGACGAACACCATCGGCTGGCTCATCAGACGTCCGCCTTCCTGGCCCGCTGCCTCATTTGCAGCATCTATGGCATCCACTCGGCCACTCAGCAGCCCAACGAGTACAAATGCACGCAGTGCGGCTCCATTTGCACCACCGCCATGCTGGCCGCCGGACAGCAGGGCTTTATGGAACAGCAGGAGGCGGCGGTGACGCCCGACGACCAGCTGCCGTCGATGGCGCCCCGTGATATGAGACTGACGCCCGAGGAGCAGCACCACCAGCAGCAACTGCAGGCGGAGCACCACCATCAGCAACAGCACCAACAACAGCAGCAGCAGCAGGAACTGCTGGAGCAGCAGCAGCGTGAAATGCAGGAGCAGGCGCAACAGCAGCAGGTGCATCATCACCAGCAGGATCAGGATCTCGCCGGCGACCAGGTGGCGCTGAAGGTGCCACCGCTCACCGTCAAGCTAAACAAGAATGCCAACGGTGGCGCCATTGTGGCCCACCCGCAGGTCATTATCAAGGAGGAGCCACTCAGCCTGAGCGATAGTGGTGATGTGGTCAACTCTGTGCCCGTCTATGCCATACAAGCCAATCCCGGTGTACCCGCTCCGGCCAGTTCGGGTGTGCTAGTCGGCACGCAAACGGTGGCCGCCGATCTGGCGCACAAGATCCGGCACAAATGCCCGGATTGTCCAAAGACCTTCAAGACGCCCGGCACTCTGGCAATGCACCGCAAGATACACACAGGCGAAGCAGAGTAAATCCATTTTATATGCATCTTACTGACTGTGTATTCCGGCAATGATAGCTTTTGACAGCCACCATAAACGCTATAGTCGTGTAACTGGCATTTGATGATTTTATAGATATTTTAATGATAGTAGCGTCAATTTACTTAAAGCAATACTTGCATAACTAACGTTAGAAGTGATGTGATATTGTCGTGTAAAGAATCTATAAAATATTGGTAGATATAGTATAGACCTCAGCTTAATCTCAACAAGATTAAGTCTCTTTGCATCTAGGGAAACATTCAGTTACATTGTTTTAAGATAAGAGTGGTTCCTAGATCATTGCCGGAGTACCCGTTATTCATTCCAAGGCCTTGCCCGCTCCAGCTCAAAGGGAACCACGTTCTGTTTGTGGGGCTCCCTTTGCGTTTGGGGCTGCGTGATCGCCGAGCTAACCCCAATAATCTTACCACTTGTATATATATTATTTTTGATTTCCTTCGGGCCAGCTGGACGCATGGGCGCGCCCTCGAAGCTCTGGGACGAGGCCCATGCGTTCGTGTGTCGTTTGTTTTGCAACTTATTTTTAAATCGAGTGTTACTAATAATATAATTTAAATTTCTTTCTTTTCTCCCGCGCCCACACTCTCTCTCTCTCTGTATCTTTCTCTTCTCCGTTTCTGCGCGGTATTTTGTGAATATGAATATGAATAATTCTTAACTCTCGAATCTCCACTCTCCGAACCGCAACTCCGACAGCGCCACGCCCAAAGAACGCCCCTACACGTGCTCCTACTGCGGCAAGTCCTTCACTCAATCGAATACACTAAAACAGCACACTCGCATACATACAGGTGAGAAACCATTTAGATGTGGCTATTGTGGCAGGGCGTTCACTGTTAAGGATTACCTGAACAAACATTTAACGACTCACACGGGTGAGAAGCAATATTTTTCAAATCAATTCAGTCAGTCAATCAGCTCTCAATCAACTCAACCAATCAATCGACTTTTCAACCAATCAATCGATCAGTAAATTATCACCTCAGCGTGATGAGAAAAAAGCAATACTCAAAAAAGAGAAACCTCTGTATGCAAGTCCATTCCCATTTGCCATACACAAACTCGCTCAATCTCTATCAATCAATCTCAATCAATCAGTACCAATATCAATCTCTCACCACTGCCAGTGTCCCTGCCGAAGCTCAATCACCAGACTCGAGCCGCCGCAGCGCCTGCGCAGAAAAACACGTCGAATAAGGCGGCAAAAATTGCCAAACCCAATGGTCAAGATCAGGATGTCGCTTGCTAAAGTGTATTCTATTGAAATTACATTCTAAATAATCGGAAACCCAGAATATAGTAATTATAAACGACAACCGTTGTGAGAAGTTGAGATGATCAATGTGAAATCAGTGTGCAATTTAATTAATAATATAACGTTCCGATTACATGTGCTTCTATAATAAGATTTTCATCTTGATTGCTTCGAAAAAGTTTAATTTAGATTATAATCAATCGTCTAGTTAGAGATTCTAGTTAAGCAACTATGCGATTTCCAGCAAGTGACAATCGGGGCCTTGAATTTTTGCCATCTTTGATTAGCGACAAATAACGAATAGTATGAGTCACAGTTTACATACCCTCACAGAACGAGAAAATCAAAATCACAACTATTTATGAGCAAGCTTTCTGTGAGGGTAGCAAAGCAAAATGATAATCCAAATCCGTATCGCCCGCCGCCTCATCTCATTACGTAATAATATGTCTCTAATGCATTTTAACAACACCAACCAAATATATATACACATTTAATATATAATCTATCTCTAGTTTGATTACGTGCAAACCCTATTTGATATGCATACATATCTACTGTACCCACACATCCACCACTCACTCAGTCAATCAATCAAAACAATCAAACCTTTGGTACTGCACGCACCAAGCAAACTGGCCAAGTGCTAGCGACATGTGCTAACCGAGTTCCCAACTTTCTCCGTTTCGCCAATCGTGGCTGTTTTGCAGGAGAGAAGCCGTTTCACTGCGGGTACTGCGAGAAGTCCTTCAGCGTGAAGGACTATCTGACCAAGCACATACGGACGCACACCGGCGAGAAGCCGTACACCTGTCCGTACTGTGACAAGCGTTTCACGCAGCGCAGCGCCCTTACTGTGCACACGACCAAGCTGCATCCGCTCTAGGGAAGGCCGGGCGGTGGCCGCCAGATACCCGTTCCTGCCCCAGCCGCTCCTCCTCCTCCTCCTGGTGCGCCGCCGCCGTTGTCCGCCGACACGGATACAGATCCCAAGAAGCCATCTGCAGCGGCTGCGGCATCGGCTTAGGACGCTAAGAGCTGCAGCGGAAACGGGATGAGCAACCCAAAATGAAAGACCATTTCAAAGACGAGACACACTCACGTACATGGGTGTTAACTGCAGCGGATGCAACGCAACCAACGACTGGCAAATCTCTTCGCAGTGCTGCTAGATTAAATTACTAAATTAGATACTTTCATTTCGGTTAACAGAGAAGCAGAAACACAGTTGTACTAAATTAGCATACAGTTCGTAGAATGTTTAAGTTATTGCAATCGATTTTTGATTCTTATTATTATTTGGTTATGTAGATGTTTTGCAATTTTATTTTTATACACCTATGTATATCGTATATAATATTTTGTTATTCATTGAGATTTTATATGGTGACTCCTTAGCGCACACTCACTTACGCGCGGCGCTATACCTACACACCGAAAAAGCTACACACTACACACCGCGCACACATATATTATTTATAAAGAGAGAGAACATATTTTTACTCATACTTTGTGGCAATATTATTTTTACTACTTCCTGAAATTGTTTGTAAATGTTACTGAAAGCAGCAAAACAAAGAAAGGTAAACTCATGTCTACGCGCAAAACTTAAATTATTTTTATAAATTATACATCTATTTTATTCGAAATCAAAACAACACAAAATTATTTATTCTACATAAAAAATGTTTTCAAAATTTCGACTCGTAGTGGAAATGGCGAAGGACCATTGTAGTCATTTCCCAATTATTTGCACACGAGCAGGATCTCGTTTGTTTTGGCTTTAAAAATTTAATTACTTTTAATTAACTAAATGATCTAATCATTTTAGCTTGTTTTTATTGATGAATGTTAACCATTGTTTATTTTTTAAAATAATTAAGTTGAAAGCGCTGCTTTTGTTTGTTAAACTAATCTAAACAGTGAGATTGTATAAAACTAAAAAAGAAAAACGAAAAACATAACTAAGAAATTAATTTTACAAAATTTGCATTTTTTAACGCAAGACAAAAAGTATTTAAGGCAAATCGAAATGAGAAATCTACGCTAAACGCAACACAGCTTTATGCGCCAAACTAGAAGATTAAACAAATTTAACATAACGATCTACATAATTGATACTTTTGATAAAAAGAAAGCTTAAAGTTGTTTTTGTAATGTATATAAATGTGGATTCATCATTTTTAAAACTACTTAAACGCGTTTTTTAAACCAGCAAATGATTACTTGCAAGAGTTGTACGTACTAAACCAACTAAAACTGTAGCAAAACCAAAACCATGTACATTTTTATAACATAGTGTTATATAATTATAAAGTATGCAAATATATAAACCTGTATCTAATATTAATGCATAATACACTCAAACAAATTGTCTACCTAATGGCACATAGCACAGCAACAAACGATGCGCAGCGCATGTAAAACCAAAATAAATTCTAAGTACTAAACTATTGTAATTCTTTAAGTTTTAAATAAACCGAGATGAGTTGACGATCAAAAGCAAACAGCTAAATCCAGAAAAAAGCGCCTAACTAACCGCAACACTGACAAAAAAAACAATTAACTCTGCTGTAAGTGATTACCAATGAATGAATCATGTTGAATGCGATACGTACTAAATAGCGACTAACTATTAGTATTAGATCTTAGCCACGAATCCAAAAACGAAGCCAGACAACAGACACACAGAAACACGAACATAAGCAAGTGAGTAATTAGAAGTTAAATTGTAAAATTTATTATTATTAAATATATAAATAGATATTACGAATATAAATGTATGTACTTGCAATCTAAATTTACGTGACAAAATCTAGCAAATATTCGAGCAATATTTCAATTAAAATATATGAAAAGGAATTATATATACAAAATAAAGTCCAACCATGTAGAAAGATTATACATACAAACCGCACAAGGTCGTTTGGAATATAATATATATATATTATATTTAGGTGGATGAGTACCCCCTTTTTAGGTCTGTCGTAAAAATACAGGAAATGTTTGATGATTTAGTTCAGTTTATTTAGGGTTTGTTTTCCATTTTAATTACAATGAACGAATATTATGAACACTATCACACTTTCAAAATGTATTCGGTTTCTTTTCCAATCGTTTTTGTAGTTTCCTTTGCGCTGAGCCACTAATTTAGTTTTTCTCTCGTTTTTGTTTTATTGTAATGCTGATTACACTCATATATATGTATATATATTTATATATAATATAAGTTAGTTATATGTTTATGTATATGCCATAAATATTTTTTTTATACACACACTTTTGATCAAACGCAACCAAAAGTTGGTTTTTTACTTTTTTTTATATAATTAATTATCATTTTGGGTTTTGCCTTCATTTTGTTTTAAATGCTCAATTTGTTGCATGCATGCGTAAGTTTACCTAATTTAACCATTTGCCATGTTTTACTTTCTATATATTTTTTGTAGTGTATATAGATATACTTTTCATAACCCTTATAAATGCCCATGTAACTGTACTATATGTTTTCTATGGACTTGTTTTCCCCCTTCTTTTTTTTATAACGAGCTCATCCAAAATTTATTGCGTACATTTGAAATGTTTTCACTTTGTGTTTTTCATTACTCTAACACGATCTTTATTTCGAGGATATCGAATTTAAGATGCTCTGGATTGGGATCTACAAATTTCGGAGGAAATCAGCTAGTAGTGAATAATACTTGCGACACAGTTTGTTGTTGGGCTAGGTTAAAAAAAAATGCAATGTAGCCTCTATTAAGCATTTTCCTATGATTTTCACTCTCGTTCGGGAACTATGTGTTTTGAAAATGTAACAATTTGCTCTTCCGTCCTCGTACATTGTGTATTTACAGAAAGTCTAGCCCGTTCGGATATTGGATGGGAATGAGTGGAAATTACAAGTACATAATATATAATATATAATACAAATACACTTTAGTTGGTAAGATTAGCAAGACGTAAGACGTACGATAGTTATGGGGGAATTGCTAGTTTTAATGCCTATAAGCTCAAATTTACAACTGATTATTCGCTGATCGAAAGTGATCTCAAGATCTCTAGCAATTTGCAGAGCATTAAGTGGATAGTGTTGGGTTGACTTGAAAGCAAATGGTTGGAGGAACCGAGTGTTAGTAACTGTCGAGGAACTTAGAGGTAAACAAAAACGCGTGTTTTAGGAATGGGTGTCATTTTTCTTAGTGTATGTGGCCTTGTTTTTACAGTTTTATCGTTACCTACACAGGTGGGCTCTGTTTTACCGCTCTACCGTTTGAACAACTTTGATCTATCAGTGATCCTATCATCGAAATCAATCGAACTCAAGACTGAGAGAAATCAACGGAAATTAAAGTAAAATCGTCTAAAAATTTATCAAAACTTTATAAAACTTGACTGCATTCAAGGTTCTTTACTTTACGTTTCATTGAAAAATAAAGTAATGTTTGTTATTGTTTGTGTTTTGTGTGTGTTTTGCATCTCCTCTATCATTTTCCTGTCGGTTTTTCTTTCTTCGCGAAATTAAAGTAATTCTTTTATTGTTTGTGTTGTTGCGCTATATAATAACTATTTCTCACATATTATCTACACATACCAACATGTATCGTATCGTTAATACTTATATACAATTCTCAAAAATCCGCAATGATCCTGCGATTCGGTCTCCTTAGCAAAGACTCCTTACTTTGAGTGCGAGACAACGGAGTGGGAGACCATCGAGTGGGAGAGCATTGAGTGGGACACGCCGGATATTTCCGCATAGGTATCCGTGGGTCCTTCGGCACTGCAAACCGAATCCTCGGGCGTCCTGGATGGTTCCGCCTCGGTGATCTCGATGTCCTGATGATGCTTGTTGCTGCGGTGTTTGGCACTTAGAGCCTAGAGAATTGGAGATATCTTAGTGGGGCACTTTGGCAACTGGGGATATGTAGTTTCTCATAGTTTCGTGTGCAATCTGTTTTCGATAAGACTTATGAAGTGCTATCTATGGGACGGACACATGCACACACGCAGACACACAAGCTGGTGGTTTCGGGTTTTATTGGGGGACTTGGGTCTAAGTTTATAGAGAAGTTAAGACAAACGTGCGAGAAGTTTTTTTGAATTAGTCTTTTTGTTTTGGATTTAGTTACATTCACAACACAGATATTTTAGCGGGTTAGGTTTTAGGTTTATGCTAGAAGCGACCGACAATTCTTACCTTATCCTTGCTGCCCTTTTTCTACATTGAACATTGGTGGTTATTGTTTTGTTTGGTTTGGTTGTGGTGGGAATCGAATGTATTGTACATAGTCATGACAAGAACAATGATATTTATAGATGTATTAATATAAGTGGCAAACAGTACTGAGAGTTCACATTGGAGGATCAATAGAAGTAAGATTCAAAGGCGGATAGAGAGACTGAGGAGAGAAAGATCTAGGGAGCTTGGGATAGGCAGCATAAGGTTTGGTTTCGGTTTGAAGAGTAACAGCAATATCGATCTGAGTCCTACAGCCCGGTCCCCCATTTTGGCCACGTCAATGTCATGTACAGTGAGCACTATGGCTGGTGGACTACGCTGGCGTTGTGGTGACCCCGACTCACCTGCAGGGAGAAGCGACGGTGACCCGCCTTGCGTCCACCACGTCGTTTGCTGATGTGCGGATTGTCCTGCCTCAGAGTCTTGTTCTTCATAATCTCCAGTTGGGTGTACAGTCTGGAATCGAAGGTACATATTTAAGGAATGAATACGCCTGCAGGACTGCAGAGATTTGGTTAGAAAATATAGGTTTCCTCGTACCTTTTGAGTTCGGCGCGTATGTCCTCGGGGCTCATTTCGGATATGGTCAGCTCCCCGATGTCCGGATCGCCCAGACAGAGTCCGGCATATCCTCCGCCCAGCCGCTGGCCGGCGTCGTGTGACGTACCCTTGAAAGCATCCACAGGTAAACGTATTGATAGATCATACGCTAGCGAACGAACCTGCAAGCTATGAAGATGCAACAAACACCGCAAACCACACTCAGGAAGTCAAACGGAAAATGGAGAACGGAACGGAAACGGAAATGGAATCGGAACTCAAAGGTAAGAGAGAGCAAAAACCAAATAGAATAGATCTGTGCTGGAGAGTATATGTGATATGTATGTATTTAGTATGTTTGTGGGTGGTCGGTGCTTATTGGTTGTGAATGTTTGTGACTCTTTGAGGGTGCTGGAAATGAATCAAAAGAAACAAATCAAATTAAAAAAGAAACTCAAACGGTAAACAAGATGAACGATAGCTATTAGAAGACTACTTAGATAGAGAACTTCAGTTTAAGATTGTTCAGTTGAGGCACAAAAAGACAGAGAAAGTTACAGTGAGGAAGAGTCTTGGATACACTAGTTTGGAATTTTTCTGGTATGCATATTGGAAATTTTGAAAGGAAACCGATTTTTGTCATTTTGTTTGTAATTATATGTTGTGTTATTTGGTAAGGTCATGCAAAAATCAACGTTAAACATGCAAATTAAATGGCGTGCTTATTGAGTTCAAGTTTAAGTGCAATACATTCAGGCCGAAACAATAAGAGCTAAAAACAGTCAAACATTCTCTGTTTAAACGAGACACACTTGCAGCAACTTCATAGCTTGACTAAAGTTTTAATTCAATGTTAGCTTAATACTAAAATTATGTTAATTTTCTCGGTAAAAACCAGAACAAGAACTCAAAATATAACCATAACCAAATGAAATATTCAATTGTTTCGGCAAAGGCAACCAAGCTTTCGAGTGGGTTTCCCCATTTTTATACTTTTTGTGTTGGCTAGTTATTAACAAAAATCGTTTCCTCAACCAATGTCAATACCAAATACGGATTTCGATGACTATAATGACGACCACGCCCGCGACAGACAGCACAAAATGAACTGGTGTGAATACTCTAAGCATAATTATTATATTAATTTGATGCCCGACTTGGACACAACAGTTCCTAATTACATCTTATATCTCAATGTGTGAAACACAAAAGCGTACTCGAACCAAGGAAACCAAAGCAAAGTAAGTAAATGAAATCGCTTCGAACTCAAATACGTTACCTGCTTGTGCTGATACCACAACTTTGGCACAAATATCAGACCCAAGGCGAAACTATTCGTCAGCTGGGAGCGGATGAATAGGGCCAGCAAGATGGCGCTGGGACTCATTTCCGGCAGGTAGACAAAGCGCAGAAAGTAGAAGCTCGACGAGACCAGGAACTCCAGCGTCAGGGCGGTCACCAGGAATTGTCGTTCCTTAAGCGGAACGAAAGGAAATGACCGGTTAATTCACTTGACTTTATTGGCATTTGCTGCCCTAATTTCCCGTGTACTTAGGTAATCATCTAAGGCAACCTCTTATGCTTGATTGATAAATAATGATCTATCTCTTAACAAAATTCATATTGCAACCGATTTGAATGTACATCTTACCCGGAACTGGGTGTTGGCATTCCGACTGGCGATGGACAGGTGCAGCCCAAAGCACAGGATGAGCATCTCGCTGGTCTGCGTGACCAGCTCCCATTTGAGCGGATGGCAGGTGTTTGTGTCCGCCTCCCTGAGGCTCTCCAGCTGCGCACTTTCGAGGAGGTCCAGCGACGAGGCCGTGAACGCGGCCATGTAGCAGATGACGGCGAAGACCATGGTGCCCAGATACTTGAGCAGATCCACGTCCCGCAGCACCCAGCGATGCGCCTTGCGGGTGCGGAAGTCCACCAGGTGGCGGTACAATTTCAGTATGATGGCTCCGTAGCAGGTGATGAAGCCCAGCTCCCGGAGCCAAGGCTCCAGAAGGCAGCGCTCGGTGGATGCGGGAAAGAAATGGACGGCAACCTAATGGGCAATATGTTAGTGACGACAGAAGTGGGGACTGTCACAAGAAGCACTCACAGATGCATAAAGTAAAACAATGCCCAGCAGTATCGTCTCCAGCACAGTCCACATGCCAGACGCAATGGCCTGAAAATGATGAAATGATTACTAAAAGTTCCCTAACCATATGACAGTATCTAAACTGTATATGTACCTTGCACTTTCTCTGCCGGAAGACAATCACGCCGAGGACGATGCAGCACAGGATGCAGGCGCCCAGGACGATGGCCACCAGGAGGCGCAGGCAGGCGTCCACGTTGAGCACCTCCTCCTCCTGGAAGGTCAAGCAGACGCCATTGCTATCGCAGTTGGTGCATCCGCCGGGACACGGAATGCACGAGTAGTTGTCGTAACCCTCGGACAGCTCCACCCGATCGCCACGGAATCCCTGCAGCGTGGAATTGGGCAGGTAGTAGGATTCCCGGCAGAGACAGGTGTATACGTCACGGGTGGCGGCGGGTTTGTTTTCGGTGAGCAGGCAGAAGGTCGTATTCCGATCGCAACTAAAGAGATATTGGTATTATATATTTTGCAGAACTAGCGTCACAAGTTAGCGGATAAAGTTTGGCAATAACTCACCCGTGGCGGCGACCGAAAACTTCCTCCAGGCCATCGTTGCACACATCCTCATCGGCGGCAATGAAGGCAGCCGCCACAACTCTGAAAGTATTTACCATAAATTATAAGTTGTGCCATCCAGCTGCACATTGATGCGACTCACTTGATCCTGTGCTCGCTGAAGGATATGCGAAATGGCCAAAGCCAGCGACGCGTCAACAGGTTGCAGTCGCGGAAGGGAGCCCCCCACTCCTGGGTGCCGTCCGTGCTGTTCCAGGCCGCACTGTAGTCGAGGAAAACAATACATTTATGGGCAACTTTCCAAGATTACACGGCTTATGGTCTATTCAAATTAAGCGAGGCACATATTTTAGGCAAGCTCCGGTGCTTATTGAATTAAGTTGGGATTATCTTTCAGAGTAATTAGTGATTGCATTAAAAAGCTATAAGCTTACGATAATTGACTTGAATTATTTAAAGCGTTGAAAATAAACCTACATATGCATATTGCTAGAAACGACAATTTGCGTTTAACAGGCATATGCAAAATAATGTAGCATACTTTTTGGGGCGCCGCTAGTTTTTCTAAAGAACTTACCCCAACTCCCGCCAGTAGGAACCCAAATATGCCTTATTGTGCACCTGATCAGGAGGTATCTGCAATAAGTTAAGCCGATTAGCTCGTGGCCCCATTATCCCTGATTAGCGGGTGCATACCGTAACGTTATCCCTGAATTTAACGACCACCGTGTGAATGCTGGGCGCGGCGATGGCGAAGGCCAGGAGATTGTCGTCCTCGTTGAGGGCGTAGCTGGCGATTCCATTGGCCCGGCGACTCACCTCCGCACGTGTCGGCTCATCGATGGTAATCGGTGTGTTGGCATTTGGGAATTTGCCCGATAAAAATTCAATAAACTGGCGTGCGGCATCCTCGGCGATGTCGGTGTAGTCGTAAAACTGCAAAATTTATAAAAACAGATTAATTGCGGAGTGTCATAAACATACAATTTAAATTTATATTAAATGCGGAGTGTCATAAACATACAATTTAAATTTATATTAAATGCGGAGTGTCATAAACATACAATTTAAATTTATATTAAATGCGGAGTGTCATAAGCATACAATTTAAATCATTTTAAATATCATTTAAATTGATTCTTAATCGAATTTGATTTAAATATCGTATCAACAAAAGAAGTGTCAAAAAGTTATAATTTCATTTAAAATAAAATTTCACTCTGCCAAACTAAATTTATTTCTACCACAATATATAGAAAACTTAAATGCCTAAATAAGCAATTTAAGTGGCAGTTCTGGCGGCGGAAAACGTGGGATTTCTTATTAAAGATGTTTTCAGAAATTCCGAAAAATTACGTATACGCATTGGCCGCCACGTGATTTAAGTGACCATGCGGCACTGCCACTTCCCCCGACTTGGGACCATTAATTATTCACCCGGCGCACAGGACACGTTTCACAGCAACACCTTGTGGCAAGAGTGCGAAAAGTTTTGTTCCGTTCCTACTGTGAAATAATAGGATTTAATGCCCTCACCGGGCTGTGGGTCTGCAGGAATGTTTTTAATCCAAGTTTGCTCAGCTCTTAACCGACCAAATGCTTGTACATAATTTACACGTTACAAGAAGCTCTCGAGATCTACGCACCAAAGTGAGGGAAACGGAGGGGGGCAACTTTGATGACATCATTATGGCTTTGGGAAACAAAAGTAACCGCACTAAGGGCCATGAAGGGGAAGCGGGGAAAAGGACACGTTGTCTGGGCGTGAGTCATGTAGTTGAGCTGGCACCTTTTGGCTTTTAAAACAAATATTTCCCATTAGCTGGGTTTTCGGTGATGAGCGACCACATTGCGTATACGCCACCGAAGCCCCAAATAAATTGCCAACAAGTAACATCGATACACAAATGTTTGTGGATGCTCTCCCATGTGAGTGTGTGTTTCCTTTTTCCCGCAAACGTGGGCCAAAATTTACACATCGAGGCAAAAGCAATCAGTATAAGGTACCAGGAGAAATGGCACGAGACTTACTTCCAGATAAAGCCATTATGTAGTGCTCCTAACACTAGTGTGCAGCCATAATCATAAACCTTTTGGATACTCTTTCATGCTAGAGAAATACAAGTAGTTTATAAAAGATGGAAAGTGATCCCATATATTAAAAAGTTTATAATACATGAAAGTTTGAAACTTATTAAGCAAACGTTTGTAGTTTTACAACATTATTTAGTTTTCACCCTACAAAAACATGGAACTTTAAATTATCCCACAAGAAATCTTGAAAATAACAGAATGTCTTTATTACCGACAAATCCCTTTGATATCCTTTTTCCAAATGCCCGCAATTACACACATACCCTCACACTCACGCCACTCGTTTTTCAGGGTATAAATGTATGGGGAAAACACTTGTAAAAAGCGGCAGCAGCCACAAAACACACACCGAGTGTGTGTGCAATAAAACATGCATACTTATGCAAACACGGCCGAAACAAATGCGCACGTGTGAGTGTGTGTGTGTGTATTTGAGCAACTATGCCAAGAGTCTGGGCCACACACACTCAGACACACATGAGCACTGAATCCTGGCTGCCAAATGAAATCAGTAAAGCGCGTTTTACTGGCTTTTTAATGTCCGTGCGCGCCTTTCCCCGCATTTCCATCTGCATTTTCCGGCATGGCATGTACATATGTACAGGATTCCTACTTATGACCATAAAAATATTTACATGGCGTAACTGTATGCTTCCTCATTGTCATTTGCATGTTTTTCCTTTTATTTTCTATGCTCTGCGCTTAATGAATAAAATATGTCAGACAGTGTTTTCCTTTTCCTTGCTTTTTGCTCTTGTATTTGTTTCTTTTTTCTTTTTTCTTTGCTTTGTCTTTCTCTTTGGCTCAACTGCTGTTGACACGCTGCAAATGCCGGTCGATTACTGACAGGCTTCACTGTACTCCTGCATTCATTACATTATTCAGGACGACAAGGCGAATGACATAAGCTGATTGCTACGGAAGCATGCTCTTCAATGTGTGTGTGGGGATGAGAGTGTGTTTGTGCGACTGTTTTATTTATCGGATTAACATAAATGCTCCTGTTGAGTGGCAATGGTTTTTAAATTTATGTCCCTATAAATAATGAACGCACAGTTCGCCAGCTTTAGTACTAACCTAATTAATCGGAGAATACGCAGTTAAATGCATCGATTAATTGCTGGTTATTTTAAATTTAAAATTAAATTCGCACACAAATGCACAATATGTTTTGCTTCTTATATACTTAATTTGCATAATAAACTTTAAAACAGCATGTAAATACTTAATTCATGTGACTTAAACAAAGCTGAATTACGGTAGGACTTTAAAAGTATTCTAGTTAAACGCCCCTTAAAGTAGGCAACATATTTCCGCAAATCAACAATATGCGTGTCCAGCATCACAAAGTGGAATGTATATAGAACAATTATTAATAACTTTGCAGCTTCAGCATTGTTAGCAAAACAACACGCACACGAAGCAAAAAATAAAAAAGGACGAAAGGAAGAGATGGGGCAGAGGGAACAGGGCAGAAAAGGCAGACACTTTCCAGCTGGAAGCGAAACAAAAGCAGCCGCAGGCAACATGAGCAGCCGCAGCGGCAACAGGAGCAACAATAATCCTTGACAGCCATTCGACAAGGCGCTCGCCGTTGACCGCAGGGCACAGGAGCGAGACAGGACGCTGGTTGCGCGGGGGACAGGCGGTGGCCAGGATAATGCCCAAGTTGGCAGCTGTCAGCCGGTGTTGCTCCTGCTGCTGCTGCCCTTGCTGCGCAGCACATTTATTTATTATTTTATCTGGCCACACTCGAGATTCAAATCGCTCCAAGGATGCTCCTTATTTTCATCCACCGCCCGCCCTCCGCTCACTCCGCGCCTTCTAATTACACAAAGGTCCTGTCCCGATTGCGTCAGAGGAAACTTGGCAGGGCAATCGATTCGATTCGTGCACGTCATGTATTGGACTCTGTTTACACCGCCGACTCATTGAATATTTATACTCGATTCGCTTGGCGCACTAAAAATAGCATCCCAAGGCACTGACTGCCAGACAGTGGGAGCAAATCCTCGCCTGACAAGTCCTCGGCTGCTTAAAGTCCTCGCCTGCAATTGTCATGCAAATTCAATTAAAATATTGTGATGCGCACACGGCGCGAAAATGTGCAAGTTATTTAATTCCAATTTGCGGCGTAATAGGGACCATCCAAAACGCTAGGAAACTTTTACACTGGAAAAGTCTGTATATATTTGATTTACTTAAATAATTTCCAACTTGTTTTTGAAGATTTACAAATTTATAGTACATCAAAATATGCCCTACTGTATGTCTGCTTTTTTCCAGTGCCCCCGGGCTGCGACGGTGTGTGGTGTGCTCACTTCATTAGCATCTCTTAATTAACTTGTTCAAGAGGCAGCTTCACAGAGTGGAGGAACTAGAGGCTGGCCTGGAGGCGCCACATGTGAACTGCCGCCAAGACAGGCCGCAACTCTTTCCAAAATCGCGCGGTTTTCTGTGCAGCACGCCGCCCTCGAGAGTGGAAAAACTTGACTCCCACATTCACTTGCGTCAGCCATGTCGTATGCGTAATATTTCCACGACAATCAACAAGGTGGGGCGGAGTATAACGAAATGGGGGAGGACACAGATTTGCGCAGAGATTTGTGTCAGCAGGAAAACAAAAAGACAAAAAAAAGGGAAAAAAAAGCAGAGGATACCGAAAAGTGAAGGAGCACATTATATGGGCTGCTATCTCAGCAATTTTATTGATTATTCGCCAGTGCCGCGTCGGCAATTTCGCAAATTGTCGTTAATTGTCTCTGCCTTGGATCGATGCGCTGTGCAGGCTGCACTCGTTCCCACAAATGTCCGTCAAAAGTTATGAAGGCAACCGGAAGGTGAATCCCGCTCCGCTTTCGCCAATCCTCCTGCAATCCTCCTGCAGTACTTTGAATTTGCATTTGCATTTGTGTGATTGCCTCAAAAGTTGGAGGCACTAAGTTGTGCGCTTGCTTATTGCATATTGCCACCGCTCCTCGGAATTGCTTCTGATCTAAGTAGTTCTCGTGACTAAGTGCACAGCTGGAACTTTCACCCATCCTCTTATGCAACAAATTATAAGGTGGCGCTCTGCAGTGGCAGTTGTGAAGTTAAACAAAGTTAAACGAACTGCAAGCACCATCGCGGGACTCGATTGAAGAACTTTTGTTTAATGCTGAGAAAATCTCAATTACTTTTGGATCGCTTTGGTAGTTATTAACTTGATATACACGTGTATGTAAACGATTACCTATTGAAAGTTACAAGTAAGTTATGTAGAGTGAATCAGCGCTTGTATCTTACTTATTGTATCTATTATTCTATCTTATTACTACTTACTTGTATCTTTCGCTATGATATTATCTTTTAAAACTAGGTACATACAATCTATCTTCATAAAATATGTATATCATGCCAGTGAGTAACTAACTAATGATTGAAATCTATTATGGACCACCTACCGGCTCGTCTGGCAGCGATTCGAGTACTTTTGGCTCGCACTTCTCCTCGGGCTTCTTCCCGCTGCCCGCCTCCTTCGCTGTTGCTGCCGTTGCAACATCCAGTGGAGTGGCTGCCGCCGTGGCAGCTGCCGCACTGCTGGGCGTTGTGGGCGTGGCGCTGCGCTTACGCAATCGAAAGCGCTCCGCCCGACTGAGAGCGGACACGCTGCTGGCGGTGGGTGTTAGCTCTTCAAAGTCAAGGCCATTGGCATCGTGGAGCAGGTGATACTGGTGCTGGCTGTGGTACTCGTGCCCCAGGGAGATGCTGCTGCTGCTACTGCCGCTTTGTGGCAGGTGCGCCCTTTTGTAGTAGGCCAAAAGAGCATCGCGCCTGCTCTCGCGGGAAAAGGGGGCGGGGCTGGGGGAGGCGGTGGCTGCGGCAAGGCCGACTATCAAAAGCACCAGCACCGCGTAGAGGGTGTTTAATTGTGTGCTGCTGCTCGGCTCCCTGGTGTTTTTACTGCGTTTAGTGCTTGTGTTGCTGATGACGTTGCACCTACTGAAATTTGATGATGTTGCAGCTGCAGCTGCTGCTGCTGTTGCTGTTGCACTATTTGTTCGTTGGTTTTGTTGCTTTTGTGGGTTTGTCAGGTGGTCTCGATCTCTGTGGCTGCTGCAAATGCTCTGCTGAGTGCTCTGTACTTGAGTGTTTGTTTGATTTTGGTGGCATTTCTTTTGATAGTTTCGGTAGTTGCTGCTGCATTGGCTGCTTTGCTGCATTGAACTCTGAGCGGTTTCAGTTTTTGACTTTGTTGCTATGCACAGTTCCATATCACTGATGTTGTTGCTCTTTTGCTTTTTCCTGTGCTTGTGGCGCCTCTAGTTGCTGTTGCTGCTGCTGTGGCTGGTGTGGTCGTAGAAAAAGTTCCTCGTGGGAGTGGCAGCTTCGACAGGTGTAAACCGAAATTGTGGCACAGTGGCGCGCTCATCTGCAAAAATTTGAAAAGTTTTGGCTTTTGTTTAGTTGCGGCTTAGTCGGAGTATAAATTCAAAGTTGTTGCCACATATGGCTTTGTGTTCAAATGTGGCATGCAAATGCAGCAAAAATAAACTCTAAACATATACAACACTGAGCAATATAGTACTATTAAGAAGTAGTTTCCATTTAACTCTAATTGAAGTCAATTACAAAATCATATCGTATTGTTAAAAAAATATTTAAATTTCACAATTAGCAGCAATTAAAAAGTAAACACAATTAAATTGGCTGTAAGCAATTGCCCAGACCGTTTCGATTGCTCTCTAAATGTTTGTGGTTGAATATATTTTCAATCACGTTCAATTAATTTCGACTGCATTCGGTAGGCAAATGGTGGCTGATCAATTAAAAAGCCCACAGAAGAACTGGTCACCAGAAAACGAAATCAGAATCCGCGCATAAAATTCAAAATCCACAACACCCACGTCAATGAAAATTTTTATAGCTGCGCCAATTGCAATTTAATTGAGAATCCAGCACAAATAATTGCTGATGACGTCCGCTAAATGTGCAAAGCCAAAGTGCATTAAAATAGAGCGGAATGTGATCGACTTCGAAGTGCTCTGCACTAAATATAAGATACATTTTATATAAAATTTTGAAATTTTATTAAAGGTGTCCTGTGACTTCAAACTGCACTTACAGATAAACAGCATGGCATATTAAACTTAACAATAAAAAAAAAAAGTTTGTTCAAATTGTATTTATGCATAATTCTAAAAAACGACTTTAGTTTGTGGGTGTATCTTTCGTCGCCGGATGAAGCTGCAATTAAATCGCGTCAAATTGCTCGCTTCAGACGAACTTGTGCGCAATTTGGAGCCACATTCCGGCACTCCCAATAAAAATCCCCCAGCTGTGGAGCTATGAAACCCTGAAAGCAGTGCAAAAAAGAATTCGCTTGGCCAGTTACGAGCTCCCAAGGGAGTGGGCGTGGCACTTGCTGCACTCAAGTGTCGCCCAGCGGTATGCCATAATTTTTCCACTTTTTTTGCTGCATTCTCATTGTGCTGCACTTGGCAATTTGCAATTCTGATTTATGAATTTGCACAGGGAGTGCTGAAAAGAAGAGTAAATGGTAGGGGATGTATGGTGCGGCATTAGCCCGTCAATGCGATGACAGGCCGCAAATTGGCCGAACGATTTGGACGGCTTCTACACAGCAGCAGCAGCAGCAGAAGCAGCAGCAGCAGCACAAGCCATGTGCTGGAAGGCAAACAGGTGTAAAAACAATTTCCGCTAATTGAAATTAATTTTCATGGCTGCAACTGCACGGTGGGGTATGTGGGGTCACTTTTTTGGAGGGTCTGAGCCCAGGGATTTGGAGGGGGCCGCGGCGAAGGTGAAAGTCGGGAATAGTTGGCACATGCGCCATAAACAAGTTGTGATTACGTGATTTGGCCAGATGCCAGCAGCCAAAGTGAAAAAACAGTCTCCCATGTCCATTTAAGGTGGTATCCCCAAATTTGCGTTACCTGAAGGCAACGAGTTCTTCTGTATCTTCTGCTCTCTGAAGTTCACTTAGTCACTTGAACTTTATGGTTACATACAAAATAAATATATCTCTAGTACAAGGCATTTTAAAGCTGTAAACTTTGGTTGGACAAGCAGATTTTCAGCCTTAAGCCTTTGGCAAATATCAAGTAGAGCGTACATTTTTTCTGCCGCCGTATTTCTTGCAGTGTGCGTGGGCACTACACTCGTGTGTTGCCAAGTTTCTTTTCCCACTTTGGCCTGTTTTTGCTGCCTGTTTTCTGCCTGGCTGGTTTCACCTGGCCTCACCTTGACACTCGCTCAACTGCAGCTAATGCGGTAAGGATGCGAGAATGTATCTCTGTCTCCGAAAGCCATCCCACTGGGTCTATCTGTGTCTGTATCTGTATCTGTACCTGAAGCTGTATCTGTATCTGTAACTGTATCCTGTAATAGTATGTCTCTGTGGGCCATTCGGTTTTTCAATTAACCGGATTTCGGGTGTAGCTGCTGCCGTGTCGTGTTGAGGTTCCACTGCCTGTCACCTGGTGTGTTGCATGTTTGCATTTACAACCCAATTGGCTGCCTTGTTTGCCAACTGTCTTGGCTTTGCTTTTGGGCATGCTGCAAACTGCAACTCGAATCAAAAATGACGAAACACAAATCACTAACAAGCCACCGCCGCACTGCAATCCCCAATCGGATTTGTTGAGGTTGTTGTCTCTGTTTGATAACTTCGGCATGCAAATTTGATGGGCAAACAACAACAGATGGATATTTTGCCTTTCCCCCATCTGTTGAATATTCATATTTTCTGGCAATTATTTTATTCCTGTTTGCAGAGCAATCAAAACCATATTTTGTGTCCAAACTGCCTTTGTAATTTGTGGCAAAACATGAAATAGCTGCAAAAGATGCGAGTCCTCAGAGGATTTTGCAATTTATTATCAACTGCATATACACTTCGCACTAGTTGGCTTAAATATTAAAGTTAATTGAGTTTGCAGAGATTTTGCATAGAAGCATGGAAATGCTGGTGTGCAAATTGAAATTTAAAAAGTTATAAATTAAAAGTTATTTTCCATAGAGTTGAGAGAAAATGGAATTAGTTTTTAGGTAAATATATATGACCAAGCAAACACACTAAATAAGTTGAACGCATGAAGAAGCAGCAATTCAATCATTTTGCTAGATTATGTTGTAGAACAAGAATAACAATAAGATAACCATGTCTGTCAGTTTGGGCGAAGCGGCAGCCCGAATTCTTGAGGCGTGTCCCAGGACATAATGTCCTTTGGGCCATGGCAACATAATGAGCTAAAAATAGCTAAAGATGCCCAGACGGGGAGCGAGCGAGACAAAGAGTCGAGTGCAAGGGAGACAAGAGACAAGGGCGCTTTTCATTAGACAAATGTTATTTCGCACACACGCACAGAATGAGAGACAAGGCTGGGGCGTGTGAAACAATCAAACAATGCAACAAAGCCGCACACACACAGGCGCACACCAGCACACACCAGCACACTCCAGCACACACACACGCAAACTAGCAAGCAAAATGGTTAACAATTAAACAATGAGAGAGCAACAAGCAAAGCAATTGCAGAAGCAGAGAGCCACGGCATAATAATAAGGAGTGCCGCTGACAGGCTCGAGGACAAATTGTTCGCCGGTCTTCAACCCCCAGCCCCCAGCCCCCGCTCCACCGCATTCCATTGTGAACGTCCCGCTTTGCTGAAGTCGCCGAAAGCCGCCCAAAAAACAGCACACACCTAACCCAGAAAACCCCCAAAACCCCCAAAACCCCCAAGAAACCCCGAAAAGCCAGCAAATCAGGCAACAACGCTTGAAATCGCTTCCCTTGTGCCTTTGTCGAAACATTTTCGGCTAAAAGCTTCGAGTGCCGGTCCCAAAACACTTTTCCAATTAGGCTTTTCTAGATAAATTCAGCCATTTATATAGATACAATATGTAGATACAGTGGAGGCTTGTAACCTAAGATCATTCCAAATTTAGAATCCCATTTTGAAAGTAGCTGCATGCAGCGTGGCTTGAATACATTTCTAGATTTTTTATTTCCCGTAAGCTTGAAGGCATGCAAATTCACATTACCCAGTGCAGACTGTATAATGGGGTGGAGGAGTATAAAAATTACAAAAGAGGAGACAGCACTGTAATGGCTGCGCTATTTTTTGGCAAATTGGGGGCGGAGTGAGCGGCCGAGGGGCGCCAGCAAAGTCCTTACAAGGACGCGGCCATTGTTGTACAACAATCGTTTTAATCACTTTTCAGGGTCTGGCGCCACACTTTGTTGTTCCTCGCCTCCCCCGCCGCTTGGCCCCCCACTTGTTCTCCATTTTTTCCGTTCTTTTTGGGAGCCCACTTTTGCATGCTGAATTTACTCAAGTGCTGCTACGTAGTGTTTATATCATTAAAAGCACGACCTCAGCATCTCGTTTTTGAATAGACGTTAGATGCTTATCCAGCCATTTTATTGCTCGCTTTGTGGCTAACTTGTTAACTAACTTCGCATTGAGGAACTAGAAGCAATAGCAATACATATTTAATCAAAAGTAAGATCCATCTGCCCAGTAATAAATGGACCACAAATCTAATATAAATATAAATAACCATATGCGGGATATTCATCCTTCAAATTACGATTATTCATCACTCATCCACTGGATTCTGGCTCTGCGTGGGCAGAACAGGATAGCACGGGATGTAGGATGTATTTATAAGCTATCTTTGTATCTATACATGCCTCCAAAGGCAAGCGGCTCTCTGGCCGTAATCTACTTGGCCTACTTGGACTAAGTGCGCTTTTAGATAAAGTCGCTGCCGAGTCGGCTTGGCACGCACAAGCGGAAAAGGAAAGGGCGGCGGGCGGTGGGCGGTGGGTGGTGAGAGGGGCTAAGGCTCACTTCAAAATGTCGAAGGACCAACCATATGATTGCGGCTGTGTGTGTGCCTGTGTGTGTGTGTGTGTGTGTGTGTGAGTGGGTGCGCCTAATGTTATGCTACGGCATAATTTGTTGCTTGAAGTGAAAAATTGTCAAGCACACTCAACGTTTATGTACAGCAACAAAATTGAACTTTTCGAGGTCATAGCTTTTTATTAGCTTTGTTGTTGGCCCTAGCATGAAGGTTGCGCTGAGGGGGAGGGGCCTTCAAACAGTGAAGCCTCCGAAAAATTAATTTGCCTGCTCATGGGCTAATTTTATTACGAAAGCATGGATTCCTGCTATTTGAGAAATTTCCTGAAATCAAAGCACTCTCATTATTCATTTGGCATAGCCAGTCTGCACTGTACAGGACACACATATAGTTGGCGCACATTTGTCCCTGTTTATTTCGCTCGGAGAAGCGTGAAAAAGTGTCGCTCCGATTGCCGTTTCGATTGCTATTTACAAACAGCGCCTTTGCCATTTTCGCTTCTCACACAAAAGTTCAAATTTCACTTGATTTTATTTCGAT